AAGTGCAGGAGGGAGTCGACACTTTCTGTAAAGCGAACAACGTCTGGACTTCAGAGATTATTTGGCTGTCTTGTTTAGAGGAAACTTTGACACGCATTGTTTGAATTGCAAATTAACCACATTTGTATTCAAATTTGAAGGGATTTTTCTGCCTTATTATTTTTAACAAAGACGGGGACAGGCAGTGAAGGAGTCGAGTGATGGAACAGCGCCGACGACTCGGTGTGTGACGGAAACCCTCCGGCAGGTGTTTTGCCCTTTTAAAGGTTGTCCTACAGACTTTGTCCTGATGGAGTCTGCAAAGATTCTGAATGATTTAAAAGGTGTAAAGGTACAGAGGTGTGCTTTCTCTTTTAGAAATCATGGAGCAGAGAGGGTAGCCAACACTGCTATGTATGTATATGTGGTGCTTGAGAATCAAGAAACAATTACATCACATCTACTCCCCCACAGGTACGCCGGCATGCTCCATCACCTCTGCAGCATTTCTTTCACACCGCATTCAGCCCTGTGCCAAACTTTGACACTGCGTGGCTTCAGGCAGTCTGAGTGGTGGTAGACTGGCAGTGGAGGAGGGGAGAGGGGTCTTCATCAGGTTCCATTTCAGGCTCCCGGTGCCCTCTGGCAGTCCTCAAAGCAGGCATACCCAACCAACTCCTCATTTCTTCCTCAGCCAGTCTCTCCATTAATAGCTTAGTGCCGCTCCAGCTCCCGTTGTTACTCCTGCCTGGATGCGTGCTGCACCAAAGGACGTCGCATGTTCATCAGACCAGAAACATTGTGCATCTCTGCTTTGCGGGAATAAACACTGAAAGAACGCCTCCTCTGACTCCAGATGTCATCCTCTCGTGTTCTCTAACTTTCTGTATCTGTGACCTTTTCTCCATCATCTCTTTAAAGAGGCTCAATCGTTGAGGCCAAAGGTAGATAACGTGGACTCACGTGTTTTCCTCTAAACAGATTGCACAGATTCTTGTGTACCTCTGCTGCAGACTTCATTTGTCAGTTAAATAGCTGATATGCAAACTGACCTGCGGGTGCTTCACACATCCTGCAGGCGGAGCTACTTCATGCAGGAATATGCTGATTGATGACACGCGTCGCACATGAACCTGTAGAGTCAGCTTTGTTGAAACACCTCAGAGGGTTTGGAGAAGGAGCTGCCATTGAGTCTGCATAATTAGGACACTATGTCATCTGAATCCAAATGGCCCACTTGCCCTAATGATCTGTCACGTTTCCTGGAAAATCAAACTCACGGGACTCGCCGCTCATCACGCACATCAGCAGCACGTTACTGCTGACGTGGCTTTTCATTAAAAACACATTTGTTCTCTGAGCTTAACGTGAAACTCACTGAGCCGTGCGCCTAAGTAAATATTAAAGCTAAATATTTCTGTGCAGTGGACACCAGTGGAGGGTTTACATTTGTCTCAGTGACAGTCTGATTTATAGTCGTGTTTATCAAAGTGGCTGACAAGCGACTCACACATGAAGGGAAAAGTAAAATAAATTAACTCAAATAAATATACGTATTACTGTAAAAGTCCTGCTCAAGTAAAAACACATGAACTAAATTCTGCTGCTAAAACTTAAACATGAACTAATAGTTTGGTCCAATCAGCTGATAGATGATCTGATATGACATTATAGGATCAATAGTGAAGCATCAGCGTGTGAGCAGCTTGAACTGCTTCATATAACATGTTTTATATTCAGGACCCCCAGTGAGGAGTCGGGACATGATTCATGGGAGGACAAAGATCTGCTGAACAAATCTGTTTTTGAACGTTTTCTCTTATCTTTGATTTTTGCCGAGATATTTAATATATATTTAATGAAACCATGTGAGAAGTTTAGAGGGGAGTAAACAAAATAAAATAAATCTCTATTTGGTGGAGCTGTCGTCTAAAATGTGACCCTGATCACACCAGAAGCCGAACAAGCTGGAACCCACAGGAACAGCCTCTAACAATGTGTTGTGTTTTAAAATCCTGTCGTGTTCATTGTTAAAAATCCTCATGTTCAAGTAAAGCTGCTAAATAACAGTAGTGGAGTAAAAAGCACAAACTTCCCTCTGAAACGCATAAAGCAGCATAAAGTCTGATTATTAAAGTACCAGAAAGTTAAAATGAAAGCATCTGCTGCGTTGGAGAAGAGAAACCTCTTGTTCTACTCCACAATCACTACAGAGACACGAGCCACTTGTTTGGTTTTATTTCTCTGAATAAAACTGATTTGACACCATAAACATGTGTAAATACTGTCATCTGAAATGACTGAGAGTCAAACCGGCTCGTCTTTGTGCTTCTCAGTCAGTAAACGGTAACAAAGGTCGTGTAAAGTCGCTTTTACGTGCCAAATAAAACATTTTATTACTTGTGCAGACAGAAGCCACCGGTGGTTGCTGCTGTGGATGAAATCTGTCAAAAAAAAGAAACCTCTCAGGCATTGATTGAAGACGTCTGTCGATGTTTTAAAGCTGCTGAGGAGGCTTATTATGGGATGTTTACTGTAGTTCTGACTGATGTGTTTGTGCTTTACTCTGATTGAGCTCTGATCTGAATAAAGACACTGCTTCTGAAGATGTTGTACTATTCTTATCTGTGTTTGTAGAGAGACAAGCGGCTCGATAACATGGTGTGTGACCGCTCTCTACAGGCGATGTGAGGAACTGCAGTAAGAACTTTGTGGTTTCAGCCGATGGTTTGCTTCCAACAGGCCACATTCAGGCCTTCACTCCAGCAGGAGTGATCCAAAACTCCACGTTAAGCCCTTTATACTGGTATTTATACTGGATTCTATCTGATACCCGGCAACATGCGTCTAAATGCAGTCACTGAAACATCAATTAAACAGATAAACCTCCTATTTTTCATTCTTTCAGCTTGAACCATGCAACTCACGACTAACCACTGAATAGATTTCAAAAGTGCACAAAACGTGACGAGAACGTTCTAGTTGACCTGAATCCATTTAGAAACAAGAGCTGGCATTGAATCTTCATCATTATCCTGATACATACAGTAAACCCAGATATGTTATATTAGCGTTTTACCAGCGTTGTGTTCTCCTGGAGCGGCCCGCCGGAGCCTCTTCCTTCAGCCTCATGTGTGCAGCAGCAGAACCTCTCAGAGCTGTCAGGACTCTCCGGCATCCTTGTTGTCTATCAAAAGGAGAAACAGGCATTCCTTCAGGTTCATCATTGAGCTAAAGTTCAGGAAGTCCACATGGCCCAAAGACAGAAACACATTACTGCTGCAGGTTTAGGAAGTGGTGCGACTCTATTGTTCCCAACTGGAATAAAAAGCGTTTTTATTTTTTATCCTCAGTAACTGAGTTGGAAATAAACGAGTTCCGGTGAAGGAAGACACCAACATATTTAACCATCATGTGGAGTCTTGGCCGTTACTCACTGCTGCGTCAGACTTCTAAAAAATGTGCAAAAATCCTGTACTGTGAGTAAACTACCTGGACTTTTGGGTATTTATGGTGCAGCAGTGTCACATCACATAAACTGTGCTTCAAAATAAGCCACAGGGCTAATGTGTATTAGATACTAACAACTGGATCCTTGAAATATGAGCGTTAACTGTGATTTTTCCTTTGAAGTGAGCTCATATCTTCAGACTGTTAACAGCTGAAGAGACCGTATGCAGTCACAGGCGCCCTTTGCTCTGAGCTTCAGACCTGATCATCTTCCTGCTTGTCTGAAATGTCAGAGGGGTGTTCAGGTGAGGACGCAACAGGTGAAACAGCTGAAAGCACAAAGGAAACTTACTCAGACAGGTTGTAACTCAGGATGGCAGGAAGACAAACGACAGCTGGAAGTCCAGGAAATAATCCAAACTAAGACTCCAACAGAAACTGATGCAGAGAAACCAGTAATGACTCAGATGGAAAAACCATGCAGCTGGCAAGCTAAGGAGCACATGGGAGAAGTCGGGCTGGAGCAGTCAGGAGAACAGGACCAACCGACAGATACAGAGGGAAGACGAGTCCGTTTGGACTCAGAACTGTTTGAGGAGACCAGACACAGGTGCAGAGCAACCAGTCATGTCAGCCAAAAGGGAGGAAACTGGCACAAAGAGCAGAAGTAAATATACAAGAGACACACGAGGAAAGGTACCTTCAAAATAAAACAGGAAGCAACTGAAAAGGAACATGAAACCAACACATAGACCAACATGGAAACAAACAGGGAGACACGGGAAACGTGGCAAAGGAAACACAGGAATGGACCCCAATGAAACGAAACTAGAAACCTAAAGACCATGATAAGTCTTTTCTCTGGCCAGGCTCCTGGTCCACTCCCCATGAGCCTCATCACTGCCTGAGATCCTCCACAGGACCCTGCTAACACTCCAGCTGCCCTTCAGATGTGGGACTCTCTGCAAACTCAACATCCTTCTTCACATCTCGTCTTAAGACTCGCTTTTATCACAATGCTTATTCTTAATTGTTGGTGTTTGTTGTAACTGTTCAATTTGTCTTATCTGGGGAAATTTCATGTTTTGGATAATACTGACTTGTTTAATGGTGACATACTTTTTGAAAGGGGATATATAAATTATTTTTTATTTATTTATTTTGTCACCAAGGAAAAACTTTGCATGTATTGCAGAAACTTTGAGCCTTCAACATTATAGCCTCTCATGACAAGGTTGGTATATACAATCCTGCACGCTCTGCTGGATAAGATAAGATAAGATAAGATAAGATAAGATAAGATAAGATGAGATGAGATGAGATGAGATGAGATGAGATGAGATGAGATGAGATAAGATAAGATATTTTTTTAAAAAAAAGGAATTTATTGTGCCAGATATTGTGCCTGTACATAAAGAGTAAAAGAGTAAAAGAGAACAAAATGAACACTGACATAAATAAAGCCTGTCATTCCCATTTACTGTCACTAGTGTGTGCTTGGTGCAGTTCCACTCCGGTGCGATAGGTGGCGGTATGAACCTCAGCTGTCTGCAGCGTTGCTAGCCAGCGGCACAAAGAGGAAGACTTAATGTTTACAAGGGAAGTGAGAGTTGTGTAAGGTAAATTAATCTACGATTTTACCCATTTTTGAAGGTGACACGACAAAGAGTTTCCAGACAGCTAAAGAAATGGAGCTGATTTTACTGACAAATGTCGCACGACGTCCAGTTTAGCAAGTAGACAAGCTGCTAGCTAGCCCCGTTAGCCTCAAATGACCTCCGACATCCATCTGCTGTCAGTTGTGTGCATGTAGTTAGCTAAGGTGGTATTTACACATACATAGGTTTAGTTTTGACATTGTTTTATGTCAATAAATGTTTTAACATAAAACTGTGGCATGTTGACGGGTTTGTAATAGAAAGAGGGGAGCATAGAAAAGATAGACATGCTGCCTTTTGTTAAAAACACAAGGAAAGGTGAGCTAAAAGGAACATCAGTAACTGCCTAGGAGCTAATCTGCTGGTGGGAAACAACCTGAGACCAGAAAGTACCAGGTGATGCTGACCATAATTTCAGACAGACTTTGGTGTTCAACTCAAAATGTTGTGGGAAGGTCACTGACAGTGATAGCAAAGTTAGCATAAAGTTAGCATTTATTCATTGACTTAGCTGCCATTCATACTGTAGGCGGGGACTTAGTTTGACAAGTGTCCCCCTACTAGGACTTGGATGGATGCTAGGCTCTGTTTAGAGGACATACTGAGTGCCTAGTGAAAAAATGAAGGTCAGGTTCATTATTAAAACAGGGCCTGACACCAGCTAGCTTGTACAGGCTCCATTCCTGAGTGTTTTAGGCTATGGGGACATTATTTCTATGCATGTGGCTGCTCCTACTCATGGTGTAGTACTCATCTCTATGGACCAAGGAGACAGCAGCATTGCTATAATGTTTGCTCTGCAAAGCAATACTGATTAAACTTCCTTCTGACTTGTTTAATCTTCTATTACTACCAACACCAGGAGATAGTGTCACTCATCTAATGAGCTGCTCTGAATGGTTCCCAGACTTTGCCCCAAACTTGGTCAAATATATTATTATCAATAAACCAAATCTTTTTCTGCCTTCTCTCTCTCCAGGAGTCTTCACCTCATGCTGATGCTGGAGAACTGAGAGGTGTTCTTCCATCATGGAGGCTGTAGTCGACTTCCTGAATGCGTTCATCGGCGAGGCCAGTGGATTTTCTGTGACGCTCAGCCTCTTCCTCGTCTTTCTGGGTCTCCTCTACTGGTGAGTAAACGCCAGCAGCTCTGTTTATTATGTTGTACATAAAACATGATAAAGCTAATTATATAATAGGCTAAACACATTTAATGGAGCTGATGAGGTAAACAGCTGTAATAGTGAATCTTAGTGAATGTTTGTATTTGTTCCTGTATTGGGATTCATTCTTTTCAGTCATCACCACATTTGAACACCTTTGCCTCCAGGTATTCAGTCTACCCATTTTCTGTCCTCTCTCGATGTGGCATCAAACATCCAAAGCCAGTTCCTTTCTTAGGCAACATATTCATGTTTCGCCAGGTGAGATACCTGTTTACAGAGAACCATCTGAATAATCTCCAACATCTGCTTGTGTCCAGTTTGGAATTATGTTCAGACTGAGCTCAGGTTGTTTTTAACATTTCTTCCAGGGATTTTTCAACCCAATCTCTGATCTTATAAAGACACATGGCAGGATATGTGGGTAAGTCAACAATACTTCATTCACCAGCATCTGACTGCTGATAATCTGAACTTTTACTGATTTTAATTTGCCCAGAGTGTGAAATGAGATGAATGCTGGTCAGTAATGAGGTTGCTGTTTAATGTGACTCCACACATATGGCATTTATTGTATATTTCAGGTATTATTTGGGCCGCAGACCGGTGGTGGTGGTAGCAGACCCTGATATGCTCAGACAAGTGATGGTCAGGGATTTCAGCAGCTTCCCTAACAGAATGGTGAGGACATTCATCAGAGTGTGTAGATGCACAACATGTGCATATTCACACGTCTGTGATATGTTTTAACCAACATTTGCACCTGTGGTTTCCTGTTTATCTGTGCAGACGATTCGCTTTGCCACCAAGCCCATGACCGACTGTCTGCTCATGTTGAGGAATGAACGGTGGAAGAGAGTGCGCAGCATCCTGACTCCATCCTTCAGTGGTGCCAAAATGAAAGAAGTGAGATGATAATATTCAGATTATTAGGGGGAGAGTTGTTACGAACTGAGTGTAAATTATGAGGATTCTTTCCCTGTGTGTTCCAAACAAATGAAATCACAGTTTCATATAGTAAGAAAGGTGATTTGATGTAGCTGTTGAGGAGTGATTCTTTAGTTAACTTTAGTAAACACCAGATCTGTGGACACAGTTCCACAGTTTGGGTGCAGAGAAGGTGAGAGGACGTGAAGGCCCTCTGTGTTGAAGTACAGAGAGCCTCTCATCAGGTTACTTTACTCTGGTTTTATTCTTTAAATGATTCAGTTGTAAATGTTGTGGCCACATAGTCCTCTAGCATGTTTTTGTTTTTTACTTCTTTTCAAATCCAAGCAACTCAACATTTAAATAAATTACCTTTACCCTCTTAACGACAACTCATATGTATGTCTTTCAAAGTGAATCACATGTTCACCTCTTATTCATTTTAAGGGCTTTTTGTAGGTTTCTGGCGCTACATGTGGAACAGTGCATTAGTATTTTTAGGCTGTCTGTGGGCTCACTGTCTGCGACAGCAAGTTTTATCCCTGCTGTCATGAGTTTATTTCCTTCAAGGGGCCTCCACAGCCTCCTGCAGGTTAAACTAACAAAACACTTTTAGAGCTGATGAACTCTGAAACGACAAACAAACAAACCGGACCTGCAAACTCTTCACTCAGAACCAGCATCTTAACACATGATTTTCTAGTCCTCAGATATATGATGGCCTCTGCTTTTATTCAGAACGACTCAGTGCTGTTTCTCTACAGAGTGGTGGAAAACTCTCAGCAGTAGTTTTTATGTTCATTTGGCTTCAGTGTTGTGTGAAACCTCCTCAGTGCTGCACCAGAGTCTTGACTTCTTTCAGCAATTCATCTTACCTGTAGGTGTTTTTATTGATGTATTGATCCAGAAAGCCTTTTTCAGCTGTGTACTTTGTGCTTTCTGTGTTTGTTGAACCAGACGGTCCTTCTGCTTGTTTGTTTTGTGCCTTTGATCAAAGATGATTCACTAAAGCTGTGTCTGCAGAACAGGTTGGCGTCTGTTTCCCACTTTGTAGAAGTTATCAGTTACAGCAGGCGTCTGTTTGTTTGGGTGTAGATGGTTCCACTCATCAACACAGCCTCTGATGCCCTGATGAACAACCTGAATGTCCACGCTGAGTCAGGAGAGGCCTTTGACATCCACAGGTATCCACAGACACAGTGAGTTGGGTGGTGTATGGGAATTACCTCTTTGTCGTTTCTCTCATATTGTTGTTGGTGTTCGTTCCTTTGCAGGTGTTTTGGCTGCTTCACCATGGACGTCATTGCCAGCGTGGCATTTGGAACTCAGGTGGACTCTCAGAACAACCCAGATGACCCGTTTGTCCACCACGCTCAGATGTTCTTCTCCTTTTCCTTCTTCAGACCCATCATGTTGTTTTTCAGTCAGTCAATGTTATTTATTTTTTTGCATTTGAAAGGTTTATGTAGGACATATAGACACATAGAGGGAGATGATGAGGAAAATAAATGTGATTTAAGAAACCTGAACATAACAATAGGGGTGCGTGATATTAGATCATTAACGATTTAAACGTGTAAACGATCTGCCAAAGCCAGGAGATCATGTGGATCATTTAGGTCACATTCTATAAATTGCAGTTCTATGCTGTTGCACTGATGCACCAGACGTATTACGTCATCAACCTGACCGACCAATCGAATTACGGGCAGTGACGCAACTTCTTACCTGCCTCCTTGGTTGCATGTGCAGCGGTAGCCGCATGGAGAGCCACGGCTGAAAGCCAAACAGAGCCGCAGCTTTTAAAAACAAACCAAGAATCAACAGATGACAGTTCATTTGTAGTTCTAAACATGTTTAGGGTGTTTCCTACTCACTGTTTGTCTGTCCCACGACATTGTTCCTCTCTCCTACAGCGTCCATTACAATCACAAGTAAATAACAATTATGCAAATTAGGTGATGACATCATTTAGCGACTTTTAGGACAGCCAATAGCTACTCTCCTTACTGAGGAGTTGGCAACGCTGCACGACAAACTTGTTCAATAAGTTGAAGAGAAAGCGCCCTGAACAGTAAGCTGAGAGCCGAACTGGACCGCCGGCAGCACCGCAGCCAGAGGCAGCAGCTGGACCCAAACAGACCACGTTAACACGGGCATTTGGTAAAGGCGCTCTGTAAGCGGTGGAAAGAGGCAACAGAAGCAGTCAACTTTTATTTATAGCAAAAGATATGGTTCCATTCAAGACAGTAGAAAACGAGGGGTTCAGAATCCTGCCAAAGCAGTCGACCCGCGGTACGAGCTGCTCAGCCCAAAATACTTCTCCAGCGCTGCCGTTCCACGTCTCTGCTCTGAATGCTGAGAAAACACAGAGTTCAGAACGTCCAGTTTTTCACAATAACAAGTGATCTGTGGTCCAGCTGAACTTAGTCTCAAACTTACATGTAAGATCGTGATAAAATCAAAGTCGTGATTTTATAATAAAAAAATCGTGATGTGATGTTTTTGCCATATCACCCACCCCGACATAATATGTGTTTGTGCACAAACAAAGCATGATATGTTATTATTGTGCAGCCATATGCGCTTTGAGAAGTGAGAATGTCAGCTTTGGTTTCTCCAACTAACTCATGTGTTTGTGTGTCCAGTTGCTTTTCCGTTCATCATGGCTCCTCTGGCGAGATTCATCCCCAACAAAAGACGAGACCAGATGAATCAGTTCTTCATCAACATCATTCAGAAGATCATCAAGCAGAGAGAGGAGCAGCCTCCTGAGCAGGTGGTTCTCACAGACTCAGTGTTAAACAGTCAAAGCCTTTTAAATACGTGTCTTTACGTCTCACTGTCATTTCTTTTCTAATTCACTGATTCATCTTCTGTGTGTAGAGGCGTAGAGACTTCCTCCAGCTGATGTTAGATGCTCGAACCAGCAAAGAGATGGTGTCGTTGGAGCACTTTGACACAACAAACCACGCAGATGAGCTGGACCACAGGAACCAGCGGACACAGGCGTCGGCCTCGGATCAGGACAGCGGCCATCCGCACCCACAGGAGTCACCCGTCAGGCGGCCGCAGAAGAAGAAGATGACTGAGGATGAGGTTGTGGGTCAGGCTTTTGTCTTCCTCCTGGCAGGTTATGAAACCAGCAGCAACACGTTGGCCTTCACCTGCTACCTTCTGGCCCTCCACCCTGAGTGTCAACGCAGAGTCCAGGAGGAGGTGGATGATTTCTTCACCAGACATGTGAGTGTGTCGGATTCAGCTCTGACCACATTGTCTTTGCTTCATGGTGTCGGTGACATGAGATGACAGCCGTGGACAGTTCCTGGTTTACATGATGCTGCCTGTTGTTGTAGGACTCACCAGATTACACAAACGTCCAGGAGCTGAAGTATTTGGACATGGTTGTATGTGAAGCATTACGCCTCTACCCACCTGGATTCAGGTAAAGGAAAGACTTTAAACAACACATGTTCACTATGTTTACAGCTGTTAGACGTGTTGGACTCACACTGACCACGACAGTCAGGTGGAGTGAAGAAGGACCAGTGAGCTGAGAGTCATTCAACCTGCAGGACTGATCTCTCCTGTGGCCTTTTGTTCCACCAAGGTTTGCGCGTGAAATCGACCAAGACTGTGTGGTGAATGGTCAGATGCTTCCTAAAGGAGCGACACTGGAGATCCCAGCAGGCTTCCTCCATTCTGACCCAGAGCACTGGCCAGAGCCGGAGAAGTTCATCCCTGAAAGGTCTTCACTTCTCTCTAAGTCTGGACTGTAAAAGGCTGACGCTGGCGTTCTAAATTAGAATAAAATAGTCTATAAATTTCTAATAGCACCACCTGCAGTTAACTTGGTGTGTGCACCAGCCAATCAGAATGTTGGCTTTATAGAAATGACTTTCCAGCTAGATGTTATTCACACCACCTCACAACACAACCATCTAACAGTTGTGTATTAACATTACACCAAAGCACTGAACTGGTGTGATGACATTAACCTTCAGTCCAGTGAAATCACTGTACAGGGCCCCAACATGGATCCATCCATCGTCTCTACACCTTAATCCTCACCAGGGCCACTGCTTTTAATTCTCCTTAACATCCTACTTGTGGTTGGTCCCCAGGTTTACAGCAGAGGCCAAGGCCAGTCGACATCCGTTCGTGTACCTGCCGTTTGGGGCCGGCCCCCGAAACTGTGTGGGAATGAGGCTCGCCCAGCTGGAAATCAAAATGGCTCTGGTGCGTCTGTTCGGCAGGTTCAGCATCGTGGCCTGTTCTGAGACCAAGGTGAGCTGGAGCAGCTGCTCAGGAAAGCACATGAGTGGAAGAGCAACGCAGTATGTCTGCATTTATATACGTTAACCTGCAGTTATCAGTATAATAAACTGAAGAAGTCACTCAGTCTCTACAGTGTGCTGTAAAAAACATATGAAAATGGATTAAGTTCTTTTACACTTTGGTCATTGAATCTAAGGATTAGTGTGGAGGTGGCTGGAAGATGACATCATTTTATTTCTATTTATGTGTATAGGTGCAATATTTCATATATATATTCTGACACTGTTGTTGTTATTCTGTTTATATTTTGCTCTTTTTCCATCGCACTTGTTTTTTTCTTTTATAGATATAGATGTATTTATAGTTATTGTATTTATTAACCAGTCACTGCCTCACAAGCTCCAGTTCTGTGCTCCAGCAGCCAAACAACAACGTTGCCAGATTCACGGTTGTGCTTTTGTGCAATGACAATAAGGAAAGTCTGAGTCCATACCTCATATATTCATGTAGATGTTACACATGTCCTTATGGATTGAAGGATTCAGTTTGCATCTCTCAGCTATCTCCATATTTGTCCTTAACATCATGTTTAACTCGGAGAACTGTTTGCATCTTCCAGGTTCCTCTCGAGTTGAAGTCATCGAGCACTCTGGGGCCTAAAAACGGCATATTTGTGAAAATCACAAAGAGAGACGTAGGACAAGGTGAAGCCAGTTCTCCATCAGATGATTAGAAACTCTTCTTGGAAGGTAGAAAACAAACTCTATGAAAAGTTACAGAGAGCCGCGGGGAGGCTGGAAGTCTATGAGCAAAGAAACCAAACCCAGTGGTGGTAGAAGCAGCATCTTGGGTCACATTACCTCTGGAGACGGAGGAGAGGAGCAGCTGCTGTGTCCTCCACCTGCTCGACAAGCTGCTGTTCCACTAAACACATCCACTGCAAAAATATAAAGGAGCAATGCTTTTAAAAGTTTCACTAAGCTCGCCATATTCTCCTGAAAATGTGAAAGAATGAGTACAAGCACTGGATTTTATTTTTCTGTACATACACTGGACAGCTAGTCGACGGTGAGGAGATGTCTGCTGGTTTAGAGTGGCTTACTCTATCTTTAGTAGTTTATCTGCTTTCAGGTATTCATGATTTCCTGCAGTTAATATAATGAGAATATGAAAAGGCATTAATTGATTTAGTGTGTGTAGTTAAATATGATGATGATGATGATGATGAAGCTGCCTGCAGAGCTGGAGCAGTCACACAGGTCAAGTAGCACAACGCTCGTGATTGAATCTGTTACCTGAACATGTCAGTTTGCACATCCATCCATCTATCCATCCATCCATCATCTCTACACCTTAGTCCTCACCAGGGTCGTAGGGGGCGGAGCCTATCCCAGCTGACTCAGGGTAGGAGTCAGACGGGTTCTCCGGCTTCCTCCCGCAGAGGAAGCTGGAGAACCCGGAGAGAACCTACGCTGCACGGGGAGAACATGGAGACTCCCAGTTTTTCACATTGTGCCACCAAATGGCAGCTCTTCTGTTACGTTGTTAGTGAGGCAGTTGTTCTCACTCCTGCTGCTTCTTCGTATTTGTTCGCATCCCAGCAGCATCACTGCATTCATTCAGTTGGTATCGTTGGTATCTCACTGGAGTTTGATGCTCCAACATCCATCCATCCATCATCTCTACACCTTAGTCCTCATTAGGGTCATGGGGGGCTGGAGTCTATCCCAGCTGACTCAGGGTGAAGGCAGGGATGCTCCAGGATGACCGTTACATTTACTAAATAGGAACTGTCATGTCAGCTTGTTACCGTGTGTCTGAGTGATTCAGAGTGACGTAGTTTGACGTGAGAATGGTGCATTATTTGGCAAGAGGATGAATCCAGTCACTTGTTTTAGGTGTTACTGATGATATTTAATATACTGCAGACTCTATGTGGTCATTGTTCTGTATCAGCCAATCTTCTCCACTGAAAGCTGTTGTTTTAGAGTCTAGCAGGTGGTTTTGTAAAAGGAAAGAAAATGCTTGCTGCTGTTTTTATTCCTGACGAACACTGACAGTGTTTGTTGGATGTTACAGATTAGGAAACATGTCCTAACCACATTCCTCACCCGCATTTACTAACTCTACATGTAAGGAGCAGGAATACGAGCCTTTCATGACCTCTGTGCTCAGGTCATTCATTATTCTTAGAGGAGAACAGCTGCACCTGATTGAACATCACAACGAATCACATAGGAATCAGTCAGAGTTCAGACTGTGGCCGCAGTCATCTGAGATGGTTGAAGGAATTTTAAACTTGAATGTGTTTAATAGGAGTGATTTACTGATTATTATTTCAGATGTTTCTGTGAAACATTTTAGACTGGGACTGTCGTAATGATTTAAAACTGGTCAGATGCTGCTTGTAAATTTAAATAAAATAAAAACTTGGTGTGTTGAATGCACTGTAACAAATAAAGAGATTCCAATGGACTGCTTTGACGTTTTTGCCATGTGTTTATCTCATAACTACCAGTGAACACCACATCACTTGATGCCCTCACTGATGGTAAGAAGTGATAAAGATAAAGATAAAGATAAAGATAAAGATAAAGATCGACTTTATTGATCCCACAGTGGGGAAAGTTCACCTTTCACCGAAAGCAGCACACAATCGTCAGACTTTGGTAGATTAACGCTGTACAATGGCAGTGATGTATTTATAAGTTGAGGTGTGGTCACAGAGTCCTTCAGCCTCATGCTGTGTTTACTTAGTTTGAGAGGGACAGGTTTGGTTATCAGCTGATCTGAGGCGGAGTTACAGGATTCATGTTAAATGAACAGATCACAGAAGGATGTTTAGCATTTCTAAAAACTGTCCTGGTGTGATTAAAATTACTGCAGACTGTGTAGAAACTCTTATATCCGTGGGGGGAACATGAATTAAATAAATAAAAAATACATCCGTTTGTTTTTGTAAGTTCCGGTCTGTCTTGACCGTCGACTTTTAGCTCCGCCCCCCGCTGCTGCCGCCGCGGGCTCTCCGGGTGAGGGTTCGTGAGTCCACCTCCAATGTTTACAGAGCGAGGGTCGTGTCAGGTGAGTGAAGCTCCGTGTCTACCTGGTCTGAGTCGTGGACTGTAATGCAGCAGAGCAAACTTTATTCCAGGCAGATTTAGGAATGAAGCGGCTTTTATTTGCAAATGTTAAACGAGGATTTTAACAAATAAGACAATCTGCTCATCAGCTGGTTCGTAGATTTATATTCATGAGCTGGTTAGCCTCACATGACCTGCGACTTCCGGGTTTGCATGGGGGCATTTCTGCAGCAAAACTATGTGTCCATGCGTATGGAGAGCTGTGTGTCTGCATCTCAGTCTGTCCGAAGTGACATCTGTCAATGTGGAAAAGAAGTTGTCAGTGCGAACCGGAAGTTGTCTGTAATTAGGTAATCAAATGTGTAAAAACATCTGCTCATCTGTCTTAAAATGTGTACATGTAGTAAGAGCTGTCAATGCGCACAGAGGTATTAGAAGTTGAAAAATCTACGTATTCTCATGCAAATGCTGAAAACAGACAAACCACCAGTCAGGAGTCGAGCGGCTTCACCATTGGCTGTCTTTGAACACGTGGCTTTTGCTGCACTTCTGTTGTGAGAGCATCTGAAACTTGGAGCATCTGAACATCAGGGTTTCTGTGCCCTGAGCTCAGGTTCACAGGATCGTCCCCTGTGGCTGCTGCCGCTCTGCTGCTCTGTGCCTCAGTAGCCACCAGGCGGCGCTGTGCATCAGAGGCTTTGAGTGAACGCGACACAAGAATCCCGATAGGTGTATGTGAACAAGCAAACTGTTTAATGCTAGTGCTGCTTCATGACAGTTTGTGCTCAGCGACCCATAAACTCAGCAGACGTAACTCGTTCACTTTTACCTGTAATGTTATATTTTTAGGAGGCTCACCAAGTGCCTCAATAATTATACAAACTGCAAAAAACACCAACATGAACTCAGTGTGTGGTCGGGACTCCATCGTTCTCTGCACCCTGCCTCACAAGGTCACTCAAATACTACTAGTAGTAATAATACTAATAATAAACTTTATTTCTATAGCACTTTTCAGAACAGGGTTACACAGTGCTTTATAGATTCAAAGAGAAGTGTACGGAAAACAGAAAACAAGGACATTAAGAGAAGTAAAAAGCAAATAAAAAAGAAGAAGAAATGGTGAAGGTGAAACACATAAAGCATGAAAGAGGATAAAACAATATACAAATATATAAGAAGAATAAAAACCCAGTAAATGAAGACAGTTAAGAGACAATAAAGGAATAAAACAGTTAGAAGATAAAATGTCCTGTCCGTGATGCTGCCATCAAACGGAGTAAAAGTCCTCTCATAAAACAACTCCTGTAAAAGCACATCTGTAAAAATGTGTTTTCAAAAGAGTTTTAAAGGAGGACAAAGTGCTTGTAGATCTGATCTCAGGGAGGCTGGTCCAGAGGGTGGGGTTCTGACAGAAAAGGCCCGGTCACCTTTGGTCCTCCACTGTGGGACGGTGAGCAGAACCTCGGCTGTGGGACGGGGAGCAGAACCTCGGCTGTGGGGCGGTGAGCAGAACCTCGGCTGTGGGACGGTGAGCAGAACCTCGGCTGTGGGACGAGGAGCAGAACCTCGGCTGTGGGACGGGGAGCAGAACCTCGGCTGAGGACCACAGGCTACGACCGGGCACATATAGGGTGAGGAGATCAGAAATGTACTGAGGTTCCAGTCCAGAGCGTACTTTATAGGTTAACAATAAAATCTTAGAATCTGTTCTAAAATGAATTGGAAGCCGATGAAGGGAAGCTGAAACAGGAGTCATGTGATGTCTCTTGTTGGATCTGGTGAGGAGTCGGGCTGCTGCGTTTTGGACCAGCTGTAGTTTGTGAAGACTCTGCTGGTTGAGAACAGTGTTCAGAGAGTTACAGTCGTCTAAACGAGATGAGATAAAAGCATGAATAACAATTTCTAAATGATGTCTGAATAAAACTGACCTCGCCTCAGAGAGTCTCCTGAGCTGCATAAAACAAGACTGAGCTGACCTGCTGGTTCAGGTTCTGGTTTCCATCAAAGATCACCCCAATACGTTTACATTGTGCAGCTATATTACAGGATAATGAACCTAAGTGTGCTGCTGCTGTGGCTGAACCAGGACCAGTAATCATTACTTCGGTTTTGTCTTTTAAGGTCCTGGATGGAGCTGTTCAGAGACTGTAACTGATTAAAATCATTGGGCTTAAAAGACAGGAACAGTTGTGTATCATCCGCATACGAGTGAAAACTCAGGTTGTGATTGCGGGTGACTCTGCGAAAGCCTCCGATGCACAGCGCTGCCTGGTGGCTACTGAGGCACAGAGCAGCAGAGCGGCAGCAGCCACAGTGGACGATCCTGTGAGCCTGAGCTCAGGGCACAGAAACCCTGATGTTCAGATGCTCCAAGTTTCAGATTCTCTCACAGCAGAAGTGCAGCAAAATCATGTGTTCAAAGACAGCCAATGGTGAAGCCGCTCGACTCCTAACTGGTGGTTTGTCTGTTTTCAGTATTTGTATTCGAATACGTAGATTTTTCAGCTTCTCATACCTCTGTACTCATTGACAACTCTTTGTATGTGTTGACAAATAGTTTTACTACAATAATGCCCCCATAGGTTTGCTGTCAGTTACAGTCATCCAAATTTAACCAAATTTATTGGTATTAAAGAAAAGGCGAAAATCACAAAAGTCACTCAAATAACTAGAATCTGAAAACAGTAATAATAAATAAAAATTTGCTAAATTGTAATTCAGTGAAATCAGACATTGCCTTTGAATTGTGGTTGAAAAGAATAATAATAAAAAAAAACTGTCCCGGACCAATCAGAGCCCTTTGCTGATGAGCAGTGGGTCAGAACACCTGTCAACAGGTGCAGAAGTCTATTATTTCTGCTGAACCACAATTCAAAAGCAACGTCATGATTTACATTAAATTTTTATTTATTATTACTTTTGTCAATTTCAGCTTATTTCACTGACAGCTGTTGTTTTCCTTCTTTAACGGGAGGCTGTGAACACATCTGAGGACAGCTGTAGGTGTATGTAGTTAGCTTCAGCAGTACGTACACATAATTTATTTTTGACATTTTCTAAAGGGGACAGACGTGCCCTCTTTCTGTTAAAAATGCAAGAAAAATGTGAAAAATAACTGCCAAGTTGTCTTAAAACAAACAAACAAAAACCCTACCAGCTAGTCTGTAGGAAAAAACAACCTGAGAGCATAAAGCAGAGGAACATACTGCCATCTCACTGGTTTCCTTCTTCACATGACTGAGAGCCACAAGACAGTATTTGAAGTCAGGCTTTGGTTTAGCTCAGAATGTTGTAGTTAAGATGATAGCAAAGTCTGCATGAACATTTAATAACTGATTCAGCTGGTGTTCATACTTCAGGTTGGGACTTACTGAAGGTTTAGATTGTGGGACATTATGTACATGCACATGGCTGCTCCTACAGGTCACTGCCCAAGATGAGATAAGATAAGATCAGATCAGATCAGATCAGATAATATTTTATTGGTCCTGAGCATCTGTCTGCATGACATCCAGGAGAAGTGGAGATGAATCAGCCTAAACTCTCTTAAATCAAAGTTAAATGAATAAATATGAATAAAATTACTCTTCTGTGTTTGTTGTTTCTCTCCAGAAGTCTTCACCTCATGCTGATGCTGGAGAACTGAGAGGTGTTCTTCCATCATGGAGGCTGTAGTCGACTTCCTGAATGCGTTCATCGGCGAGGCCAGTGGATTTTCTGTGACGCTCAGCCTCTTCCTCGTCTTTCTGGGTCTCCTCTACTGGTGAGTAAATGCCAGCAGCTCAGTTTATTATGTTGTACATAAAACATGATAAAGCTAATTATATAATAGCTTGTGATGCTGGAGCTGCTGTCGAAAAAGGCATTTATATAATCTACCAGACACATTCTGTAGAGATGGCAGGTAAATAACTGTAAAGATAAAGATAAACTTTATTGATCCCACAGTGGGGAAAGTTCACCGTTACAACAGCTCCAAAAAAAAAAAGTAAGTGTGCAGTCAGTGCAAGAATCATTTGGGAACACCCAGTGCAAAAAAATGCAAGTGAAAAAAAACATTATGTACAGAAGATTTTTTTTTTTAAAGAAAACTATATACACAGAGGTGGTAGTGGTGGTTATTGCACATAGTGGGTTTATTGGTGGAAAAAAGTGCAGCGTCGTAAAGTCTGACGGATGTTGGGACGAAGGACCTGCGGAAACCTTCTTACACTTTGGGTGTCGCAGTCTGTCGCTGAACGCGCTGCTTAAGGAGTTCACAGTCTGATGCAGAGGCTGGGAGGTGTTTCCTCTGATGGCAGACAGTCTCTCCCACCACCTCCATGGAGTCCACAGACCGAGCCGGCTCTTTTTATCAGTCTGTTGAGTCGGCTCTTATCACACTCTACTACTGTAACAGTGAATCTTAGTGAATGTTTGTATTTGTTCCTGTATTGGGTTTCATTCTTTTCAGTCATCACCACATTTGAACACCTTTGCCTCCAGGTATTCAGTCTACCCATTTTCTGTCCTCTCTCGATGTGGCATCAAACATCCAAAGCCAGTTCCTTTCTTAGGCAACATATTCCTGTTTCGCCAGGTGAGATACCTGTTTACAGAGAACCATCTGAATAATCTCCAACATCTGCTTGTGTCCAGTTTGGAATAATGTTCAGACTGAGCTCAGGTTGTTTTTGACATTTCTTTCAGGGATTTTTCAGCCCATTGTCTGATCTTATAAAGACACATGGCAGGATATGCGGGTAAGTCAACAATACTTCCTTCACCAGCATCTGACTGATGATAATCTGAACTTTTGCTGATTTTAATTTGCCCAGAGTGTGAAATGAGATGAATACTGGTCAGTAATTAGGTTGCTGTTTAATGTGACTCCACACATATGGCATTTATTGTATATTTCAGGTATTATTTGGGCCGCACACCGGTGGTGCTGGTCGCAGACCCTGATATGCTCAGACAAGTGATGGTCAAGGATTTCAGCAGCTTCCCCAACAGAAGGGTGAGGACATTCATCAGAGCGTGTAGATGCACAACATGTGCATATTCATGATTCCAACACAAGCCTCAGAGATTATAATAAGACGCTTTGGTCTGTGTTTTCTCTGTTTGTGTGTGCAGACAATTCCCTTTGCCCCCAAGCCCATGTCTGACACTCTGCTCCTGTTAAAGAACGACCGGTGGAAGAGAGTCCGGAGCATCGTGAGCCCATCCTTCAGTGGTGCCAGAATGAAAGAAGTGAGATAGCAATGTTCAGATTGTTAGGGGGGGAGCTGGTACTAACTGTGAAATATTGGACCAGATTGAGTTTCTGTCATATTTGAATGTAGACTGTGGATAAAAGAAATGCAATCACAGCTTCTTACAGTAGGAGAGGTAACGTGATATAGCTGTTGAGGAGGGATTCTTTTGAATTCAGGGTGACGTGTGCTGGTCTTGTGTTGTGCCCTGGTCTACGGCAGGGGTGTCGAACCGCGGTCCTCGAGGGCCGCAATCCTGCATGTTTTAGACGTGTCCCTCTTCCAACACACCTGATTCACATGATCAACTCATCATCAAGCTCTGCAGAAGCCCGATAACGATCCTGATCATTTGAATCAGGTGTGTTGGAAGAAGGAAACATCTAAAACTTGCAGGAGTGCGGCCCTCGAGGACCGGATTTCGACACCCCTGGTCTACAGGAACCTTTGGCAGAACCTGAGTTTTTGCTCCACCAGACTTCCCCCTCCAAGAAAAGGCCAAGTGTCAAAAACCAGCAGCATCTTTTATTTTATGAGTACAGAGGGAGACATGAGCCAACA